CTGACCGGCACCCGCGCCGGCTGCCAGGCCGGCTCCGAGCACGGCCCCCAGACCAGCTCCGAGCCCGGCGCCCTGACCGGCGCCTTTGCCGGCTCCCAGTCCCGCTCCGAGTCCGGTCCCCAACCCGGCTGTTCTGAGCGCAGCACCTTTCTCGGCTCCGAGCCCGGCTCCCAATCCGGCGCCGAGCCTGGCGCCCTGCCTGGTGCCTCGCCAGGCCCCCAGTTTGGACACAGCACGCGAGTGTCCAACAGTCCGGGGGGCACGCGCTGTTACGACTCCTGTCGACTACGGCGCTCCCCCTCCCGCGACCGACGCCGCAGCAGCCAAAGCAATGATCACGACCCGAGCCCTTGTGATCGGCCTCCCGGCTGTCTTCGACCTCAAGTTGACGTCTGTCGTCCACGATCCTTCGCTCTCGCTGCAGTCCCTGGCAGAAAGACTCAGACGCCGAAAGGCTTGCAATGGAACTTTGCAGCCACAGAGATTCACTACTTCCCTGTTCAGACCAAAATGCGTCGACACCGTACTTCCCCTAACCAGGGATATGTGGTCCACGTTCCTGATGTTCTTCCGGACCACTGGCTGCAGACCTCCGCGGATGCGCTCCAGGAGGCAATCGAGAACGCCATCCGTTTGACCGAGCGCCTGGACGACGACCTCGACACCTGCATGCCGCTTGTCCCAGCCGGGGCAGTGCAGCAGGGAATTGCAGCAGGGCTAGTGCAGCAGGGAACTGCAGCAGGGCTAGTGCAGCAGGGAACTGCAGCAGGGACCATGCAGCAGGAAACTGCAGCAAAGTCCCCCGCGGTTCTCGCACGGTCTTGGGTCTTGGATAGTGGTTCTGCGCACCACATCACGGACAAGGACGATTTGACTCAAGCTGAAACATGTGGTATTCGTCGTGGACATGAATACGTATTGGAAACAGCAAACGGTGATCGAGTTGTTAATGAGCACATCAATGTTTCTGTGCCTTCCATTAACTTGCACACAGGTTCTTTGGCTCTCAAAGGTTGTCCGTCTGTTATTTCCATGGGTCGTCTCGTCGAGGATGAGGATTGGACCATCCATTGGAGCAGAAAAGATGGGTGTGTTCTCTCACCACCTGATGGTGGGCCATCACGGAAGGCCCCTGTTCGCGACTACATACCACACGTTGACGCCGATAACATGGAGTTAGTGTTTCCGCCTCCACCGAATCCGGGGGGGCACTGTCCGTGCTGCGGCGCCACGAAGGACCAGCCACGGCAAGGGGATGACTCAGCTCCGGCTCAAAAGCCGCATGCTTCTGTTACGTCTTCAAGGACACGCCCGGCTGCTGCTCCATCAGAGCATCTGGACACCAGAGCGCCCAGAGGATCTGGACACAGGAAGAGAAACCCACCTCCCCTGCCCCCGCGGCGCGGATCACGGGACTCTCCAGGAACGACCCGGCACGGAAAATCTCCCCGCTCCCAGGACTCTCCGGATCCGATTCGGCTGAAGAAATCCCGAAGCAGGAGCCCGCTGGCTCTGGCTAAGCCGTTGTTCTTTCGACAGACGGTCAAAATCAAGACCCCGGCTCTTAGTTCGGACCCCCCTGTGCTGAAGAGGCAGACGCCTCCCTCGCGTTCAGGTTGTTTTTGTGTCCTCCCTCGACAGCAGGTAGCCGCGAGCTCAGCCACCGCCGACCAGCCCGATCAGCCGGTCGATTGGGACCCCGATCGCCGATCGGACGCGGATCGATCGCTGGATCCTGGCCCCGGCTTCCATTCGCCCACTCTCGGTCCGGAGACCAGAGACGCCGTCGCTCTCCCGAGCGCCGATCGTGCGTGGTCTGACTACATAACAGATGTCATAAGGGGTGCTGCCCATCTGGACGCCGAAATTGCAGCGGGCAACCGCAGCGAGTACGGCGCTGCGAAGGGCACGTCGAAAGGGGGAGCGGAGGCCGACCCTGCCCCCCCTACACACCACAACTCCCCTTACGGTACATCATGTGGCGCGTCCTCGAGCCATGGTTCCGCCTCCTATGGCGCCCCCATGGCGTGCCGCTGGTTCTGCCGCCGCTGATTGCGCAGGCTCGGCAATTGTACCTCATGGACATCAGAGCATACCAGCACCACATCATGATGGACGATGACATCTGCATACAATTTTGATGGCTTCCGAATTTCTTCTGACTTTTGACGTGCCTCTCACATCTTGGTCGATATCAAAACCATACTTGTCACCATGGACAGGCCCAGCTGTATATGAAAAGGTACCGCAACCAGCCTACTCACCATTTCTTACAGCCGACGCCGAGAATTTGGTTGGAGCGATGGCATAAGTTTTGTGCGTTATCTCTGGGACGTTAGCTTCGCGATAGTAGAGCAGGTGACAACCTTATTATCGATTGCAGTCTTGACAAAACGGCCTAAAGAGCCACAAAGATGATTGTCAGCATGTACTGTTGAAAATGCACAATTGCAAAAACATGTGAAAAAGCATAATTGCATAAATACACTTGATTCTTCATTACTGGTGCAAGACGTACAAGATTTTCTTGGAACTTGCGCATGCACTCTACTCCTCATATCTCAATGTTTTGCGTTTTGCTTTGGATTGGATCTGGCTCATTGCACACATCGTTGCATTCATGTCATGTGTTGCTTCGGGCACCGACCGTTTGGGTCGGTGTCATAAGAGCTCAGTCTCTCCATTCCACTTCTCTCCAGCCCGCAGCACTGTCCTGGGTTCTATCTCGGCGGCAGGCGCTGTAAAACTTTGTTTGCGGGTTAGCGCCGCCGTTGGGTGCGAACCTTACGACAGAGTTTTGGCTGTCCCTTCTTTCCTTCCTGGGCTGAAGCAGTGGATTGCAGACAGGAGTTCAGTAGAGATTCACTCTCCTATCCCGATCCCCGCTTCGGTGCCTTTCGCCTTTGTGCGTGGGCATCGGGCGGGGTCGGGACGGGGGGTGTGTGTGAATCCCCCTACTTTCCTCCTATCTTGCTCATATCCATCGCCCCTTTCGGCTCGGATGCAGGTACTCGTACTCAGAGGGTGAAGTGGACAACTTCCATCATCCTCATCACGTCTACCTACGGACACTTTGGGGGTGGGTTCGGTCCTTCGGTCCCCCTCCCCCTCGCACAGTATGTGCATTGCCTTGTTTAGGATGATACCCAAAATGAAATTGATGGTATTCAGCAGAAGTATGTGTATCACATGGATCTTGTTCATGAACGCGACGACGTGTGCCCTGGATGAGTATGACGCTGGTGCGTAACGTGCGAGATATGTCGTGGAATCTGTCATGCTGCAGCATGCTGAGACAGTTGTAAGAGGAAAGGGAGAACGTGTGAGCGACCATGGTGCACGTGCGAGTAGAAAGCGAGTGCTCACCACCCGTATGCCATGTACGCGAGTATAGACGCAGATACGGTGACAGGTATGCCCAGCAAAAGGGGTGTGCTGAAATGGGCTGAGGAGAAGGAGGAGGAGAAGGAGGAGGAGGAGGAGGGGGAGGAGGTGGAGCAGGAGGAGGAGGAGGAGGGGGAGGAGGTGGAGCAGGAGGAGGAGGATAATGAATACCGCCGGTAACCCTAGCAGAAGTGCTCCAGGGGTCACCTGGCTCTAGTTTGATCAACCCGCCAGGGCCGGCAGGCCCTGGGGGGGGGAGGCTGCACCCGATGGGATCTCAAGCCACTAGGAACCGGAAACCAGGAGGAGGAGGTCCGACGTCGTTGTTTTGATTGCGCCCAGGGCGATGCGACGGTTCTTGGAGACCGAAAGTGGCCAACACCTTCCTGCCGCTGTTTTTTTTGTGGTTTCCATATGCATTATCATGAACATTATCTTTATTTCTATCATTGAATAATACCAGTAGTAGTCGTATAAGTAGTCTGGTTACGATGTTTAGTATTACTAGGATAATGTCTATGATTGTCAGTATGATGATTATCAGCGTTAGCATTATGATTAGTATTAGTCTTTGCATTTGAAGGTGATTAAGTATATGTACATATAGGTATAGGTGTATATATATATACAGATATAGATGCGTTTATCTATATATATGGCAGCGCGAGAAGAGTGGGAAGAGGAGGAGGAGGAGGAGGAGGGTTGAGGTGGAAGAGGAGGAGGAGGGTTGAGGTGGAGGAGGAGGAGGAGGAGGAGGAGGAGGAGGACAACGGAGGACGGAGGATCGCCCTCCGCCAGCTCTGCAGCTAAAAGCTCTCCTGGCGCACCCCAGTTCCCGCGAGGAGGAGCAGGAGGATGAGGATGAGGAGGACAAAGCAGGTGCGTTCTAGCCATATCTGATCATATCTGACATCTTAACTCTCCCACCCATCCCTTTCCATTGCGCTGCTGTTGTTTCTCTACTCGCCGGCGAGTGTCATAGCGGCCCTAGAACCCCGAAGAGGACCCCATCGCGTTATGCGCAATCGGAGAAGAGCCGCGTACATCAGAAAAGGAGGTTGCGGATGACTGTGAGGACGAGCGGCAGGAAGAGGAGGAGGAGGAGAAGGAGGACGACGACGACGACCATTGGGAAGGAGGAGGACGAGGACGAACAGCAGCAGCAAGGGCTGGAGTGGACGGAACGGGAGAGGCAGGAGGACTTCGGGAAAGCGGAGGAGAGGATCTGAGAGGGGCGGCTACGACGAGAAAAGCGTCGAAGGTAGAACAGTTGCCCGCGTTGGGGCGATAGCACCGTTCTCCAGTGTGTTAGAAAACCGTGCGCGGAAGGGGCCGAATACCTTCAGGACTGGGTCAGGGAAGAGTAGAGAATAGTGATGATACTGTGTATGTGTGGAAATGGAAGAGGAGGACGGGGAGGAGGAGGAGGAGGAGGAGGAGGAGGAGGAGGAGGAGGAGGAGGAGGAGGAGGGAGAGGAGGAGGAAGAGGGAGAGGGAGAGGGAGAGGGAGAGGGAGAGGGAGAGGGAGAGGGAGAGGAGAAGAAAGAGGTGACCTGATGAGGGGGCTCCCCCCCGCAAGACCTGCTCCCCGCCACCTCCCCCGCCGCTTCCGTGAGGCGGTGCTCCGCGGCGGGCTCGGCTCCGCGCCGTCGCCGCTGGGGGGCAGGCGGCCTTTCACGACCGAGGACCGGGCTGGAGGGTCGGGGAAGCGTAAGACTCGAGTGAGCCCGATCTCGAGTTCGCCGATGTTTTGTGACGAGCGCGTCTTGGATCTTGGCGGTCCAGCCTTGGTGGGATGTTTGCGGCGGGAGTTCGCGTCAAGGTGCAGATTGGGTCTCTTCATTTTTGTGATGGCCCTGTCAGGCCAACCCGAGTCCCCCGTGCCCGAGTTGTACGTCCTCCCGAGAGAGGGGAGGCCGGAGGGAGGTGGATGGTGGAGGGTCGGGGCTCAAGGGACAGATCAATGCAGACGGGGTCAGCCAGAGCGCCCGATCTTGCAGGATCATGCAGAGCCAGGGCTGCACTTACCCGGGCTGGGGCGCAGGGTCCTGCAGGATCTTACAGGATCTCGCAGGATCTTGCAAAGCCTGACTGGCCTGGGTGTGGATTGACCCGGGCCCGTGCGGCCCCGAAGGGAGGTGGAAGGGTGAGAGGCCGAGGCAGGCCCTCGGTGCTTGGGGAGATGAATGGCGGCGCGGGCACCGCGCGGGAGGGCTGAGGGAGTCGAAGGAGCGCAGACATGGCTTCAGGCGCGTGGAAGCGGCTCCTCCCCCCGAGCATGCGGAAACGCTCCTGGAAGCCCGGGCGTGCCCCAACGGCTGACGTTGCAGGGATGCCTCGCGAGACGGGAGCCAGCCAGTCAGGTGCCTCCTGCGCCTCCGCCCCGTCTCGCCTGCGGGAGGCGGGGGAGGCGCCCGGGCAGCCCACAGAATCGCGGCGCAGAGGCGGAGGACGGGCAGTTGCTCAGCCAGGGCGCGCAGATCGGCGACGGGCTCCGCTTCCGCTGAGAGTTGGCGCGCTCCGTCGCCAAGTCAGGCCGCGCTGACTTGGCGTTCCATCCTGATCCGTGGATCTGGCGCCCACGCGGCAGGTCCACGGAGCTCTAATGCATGTTGGCGCGCGCCCGAGGGAGGTACGGAGGAACACAGCCGCACCTGCCGAGGTGGGAGATCATGACGAGAACGGGTCTGAGCTTGCGGCGTACGCCTCGCCCTGCCGCGATGAGGCGGAGCCCGAGGGCTTGAGCAGAAGGGCAACGTCGTCAGAGTCGGAGCCCCGACTTGGAGCAACTCACGACGTCGGAGAGCCCCCTTGCGTCGTGAAAACATCACGACGGACGGGCTGGGGCAATGTTCGATCTCCGAGGGCCCCCACCAGGCCCCCCGGATCGTCAACAGAAGCGACTCGGGAGGAGAGGGCGCTCCGCGGCGGGCATGGCTCCGCGCCGTCGCCCTCCGGGTGGCAAACGCGGCCCTTCACGACCGCGCGCGGGGCCGGAAAAGAGAGGCCGGGGGAGCCAGTTAGCAGTTTCGGGGGCCAGCAGAGTTGGACCCGGGACGAGCAGGGTGCCCTGGGGAAGGGGTCGGAACCCCTGGGGCCTCGCATTGGGGCGCGATCGTTTCGTCGGAATGTCTGGGGAGGTGGAGGCGGAGAGGTCGCTGAACGTTCCCGCCCGTCCGCGGATGTGTTCCAGCCTCCGGATGTCTTCCAGCATCTGCGCATGGCCTGCTACGCATCTGTATCACCATACGCACCTCTCCGACGTTGTAGAGCTCCGAGGCGAGGTCCCATTCGCGAGTGCTCTGGTCGTTTCGCTCGGCACATCCTCAACATTCTGAAGATCGATCGCACCCCTCACGCAGATCGCTACGTTAAGGTCAAAAACGCAATTGATGTTCAACATGTGTTCGGTAATCTTATCAACCACACAATGGCTTTCAATCGTTTTGAACGTCGCCCCTGGAAAAGCATCCCTTTCGCTCGAGAAATTCCCCAACTTAGAACCCTGCGTATTCAAAGTTGTCCTCATATGCTTCAAAATGACAGTTTCGCTCGAGGCACCCTCCTGCGCCACACACATCGCACGGTGTTGCAACCCCACCCGCGTTAGACAGCGATCGCTCTCTCGCAGTTCCTTTCCCAACAACCCCCTGGTAATCCTCATTATGCTCCTCCTTTCCTTGTTTTCCATGCTTCTCCATCTTCCTCCTCCTCCTCGGATCAATGTTTTGTGATGCGTACTTGCTTCAATTCGTGTTCGTTTTACCCGTCTGGGGGCCACACGTGCCATTTGTATGTTTATTTTCTTGTACATGTACATGCATGTAAAGTTGTTCGTTTATGTGCATATGGATGTTTAGATCTACGTGTGCATACACCTAGATCGAACTGCAGCGAAACACATATTTATGTGTGGAACATCCCCTTCGCATCTTGTTCCTCACCTGTGCCCTCTGGGTCGCCCTTCACATTCCACTGCTTCCCATGCTTCACCCGTCTTTCCTCCATCATCCTTCTCTTGGCGCTAATCGTCATCATTGTCCTCCTACGTCCCCTCACTCGTTTAGCCGTCTCCCTTCTTCTCTATCTTTCCTCTTTTGTTCTTTCCGTTCACAGCCCTCCATGCGTATTCATGTAAGTTTAACGGCTCCTCAGTCAACCGTCCCTCCCTTGTTCACCTTCCCGACATTCCTCCTTCATTGTCCCATTTTTTCCTTCTGTCTATCCTCTGCCTCCTCCTCTTCGTCCTCCTTCTCCCTTCCTTTGGAAGCCAGTGGACGAGGGTATGCGTCAACTGCGAATTGGCCCTTCGGTTCGCGGAGTGGTCAGAGTGGAGCGACGAGGAGAAGCTTCGCCATGGCTGTGAGAAGTACATCACACAAGAACAAGTGAACCGTGACCAGAAACAGCGCGCAAGGGGCCTAGCGTGGACAGTTCAGTACATGGGGCAAACCCAAGCGGCGAAGGCGATCATCGACGCGGAGGAGCAAGGCAACCAGCCGAAGAGGTCGCGCAACCAGGGAAACAAGAAGGTCCTCAAGCGGTCCAGGGAGGTGTCGAAGGCCTTGGTGGAAGACTTCAAGAAAAACGAGGGCATCTTCACGGGCGTCAGCAGGGCAGGGGAGAATATGCTGGTCGCACTGAAGTGCGCGGAGGAGTACGACACCATGGTGGGCGAGCACATGCGCATGCAAGATGCGCAAGAACGTGGGTGCGGATCAGACCCATTACCTGAGAGCGCTGGACTTCGTGGACAAGTGCGCGACAGCATGCAGTCGTACAACGTGCGCAGGTGCCGCGCAGGTTGGGGCTGGGACAAGAGCTGCGCCTGCTCGCGCGGACTAGCCTTCCCCCGCGAGCTGCGGTGGATGGGGCCCCGTCGTTCATTCGCGGTCAAATCAGTGGGCGTCCCGGTGCTAGGTCGATTGGAAGGCGCCAGCGATTGCCCAGGAGAGTTCCCCCGATGACCAGCGCACGAAAGAACGGGTGGACGAAATGAAGCACGACTTGACGGAGGACTGCGCGAAGTGGCCCGAGATCGGCCGCGGGCCGAGGTTCCGCCCGCGCCCCAACGGAAAGTCGGCGGCGGTGAAGCTCCTCATCGATTGCAAGTGCGAGGCCTTTGCGGCCGAGGGCCCGCAGCAGTAGATCGACGACGCAATTCAAGAGCGCCGCTGCCAGTTCTTCAACGCGGCCCAGCAGCTGAGCCCAGGTGCTCTGCAGGCGATGATCTTGCCCGTCCTCCCGACGACGCACCGCGCAAAGGGCTGCGAGCTGATTGCAAGGTGCCCAGTGGGCGCGGGGCAAGCAGCAGGGAAGGAGTATTCCTCCTCGCGCAGCTGGTGCGAGCTAGCGAGGCGGATCGCGAAAAACGGCCCGGAGAACCTGCAGAGGGCGCAGGTGCATCTCGCGGGCGGCAATGCTATGCGATGCGAAGCGTGCGAAATAGTGTCCGCTTGCCACTGGCCGCGGCTCGTTAGGGGGCGCTGCGCCTGTCGCGGGCTGCGGCGGCGCGCCCGGCGAGGGGCGGCCACCGCGCCCCCGAAAGGGAGCGGATTGCGACCAGCACGTCACGCCACGCAGGGCGGGCGGGAGGGGCCGCGAGGGCGCGGCGCCGCCCCCCGGGCCTGCGCGCTTAGAGGCAAAGAAGAATGGGAGGGAGATAAAAAGGTGGGTGCACGGGAATATTTCGTTCCCCGATTGCGCAGCCTCTTGAGAAACTGCTCTTCCCGTTTGGCGCCGCCACCGGGACCGGCCCGCGCAGTTCTGCCGGGGGCCTCCCGGGGCCCGAAAACTTTTCGGGGCAAGGCGACGCGAAGCGCGTGCAATAAAGTCCACTTGCCATTGTCTGCGGCTCGCTCGGGGGCGCGGCGCCTGGCGCGGGCCGCGGCGGCGCCCCCGACGAGGGGCTGCCGCCGACCCCGCGGAGGCCCGCAGTCCAGAGGGCAGGCGCTGAGCGCGAGATCGACGCGCAGTTGCGCCGCCGCCGGGCGCGGCGGACAGATGACACATCAATCTCGCCACCTTATAAGGCAGCGCTTCAGACCGGCGACTCCGCGCCGGGGGCCCGCGCAGGTCAACGAGTGTTCTGCTGGCTGGGCCGCGGGCGAATTCGCCGTCTGAGTTGCTTTTAAAAGACGCTGCTTGCGCGCCCCCGCGGATAACATCGCGCAGAAATCCCGCAGCGCAGCCGGAGCACCGCCCCCTGGCCTTGCGCGGGCCCCTCAGGCACGGAAGCGGCATTTCTCCAAGCTTGCGCGCCCCATTGCGAAAGCTGCGCGCGCCGACCTGTGCGTCGCGCAAGTGGCGCGAGAGCATGCGCCTGGGTGGATCCGCGGAGACGGGCTTCAGAGCGACCGCGCCAGCGACGCAGAACGTCACGCCGTCGCACTGCCCTCTCAGCGCTGCACTCCGCGCCTGCCGCGCGCGGAGCAGTCTCGCTGGGCACGGGTCTCAATGGGGCGACAGTTCTGGGGCCCGGGCGAGCAAGCCCTCGTCGAAGGAATTGTAGATCGGATGCCGAATCCTGCGCTGGACGGCCGCGCCCTAATCCTCGACATCTCCGACGCGCAGCGCTTGAACTTCCGCGGAACGCCGAGCGCCGAAGGAGGCGGACGCGGCCATGGCGGCGCCCCGGATATCAGCGGGAGTTTTGCGCGATGCGAGCGCTCAGTGCCTTCGCCGG